CTCATCTTAGCTTATCTTATATCTACAGCGCTATACTTTACATCTGAAGCGCTTGATTTTACATCTACAGCGCTTGAATTTAGATCTACAGAGCTTTACATCTTCAACGCTGGACTTTGAAAAAAACAACTCTTTATCTATATGATACCAACCGGGCTCCGGGATCACAATACATATTTAGTAATGAATTAATTTAACAATCTAAAAAAAACCAGGATCTTTTGCAATGACAACATTACATTAGAGACAGGATGTAAGAATTAATTGTTCATAACTGTATAGGATTTCAAATTAAGTTTTGGTGATAAAAAAACATATATTTTGATTTGCCATGTGATTCCTCAGATTCTGATTAATCAGACTTTTCTTATATAATTCAATTTATCTGTATATATGAGAAATGCTAGATGATTTAAACACATACCCGTCACTTCTTACAATAATTTTTTTTTCTTTTCTTTTCTTTTTATTTCAAATAATTATATAATAGTTATTGAAGAACTGGTCATTATCGTGATATATGGACTGCCCACAGGACATTGGTATTGACTAAGACAGCGATAATGACTGAGCCATAGTCGAGGTCATTATCGCTGTCGCAGTCTATACCACTGTCCTACGGACAGTCCATGTATCACGATAATGACCAATTCTTCAAAAACTATTATGTTTATTTCATTGATGAACCATGTTTTTAAAAATTCTCATAAATTCAAATTGTTCAAAGCAAACTCGAGTTATTGTACGATTTCTATAGGAAAGAGTGAAGTCCAGTTACAGTGATAACTATAAGTCACTGCCATTCATTTAAGTGCAATTTTTCAGTATATGAATACAAATAAAGTTTTCTATAATTTTATAATTCTTGTTGCTGAGTAGTTTGTCTCTATCAGCATCGGAAAGTACGGCAAAACGATCATTTGAGTTGTCTGTAGCAGACGTGCCTTCCAGTTCAGTCATGTTCCAAACGTCTGAATCGCGATTGCGTTTTATTAAAGGGAAATTACTCTAAACAGAGAAACCACGCCCCACTGGTCATTAACATGTAAAAGTCTGTTAACGACCAATTTTCTATTCCGTTTTTTTTCTGTTAAAGACCGATGGAATTTTTTACTAAAGAATAAAGAATGTCATGTGGCCCCTTGTTATCCAATAAGAGAAACTAATTCTTAACCGATATGAAATAATGCTTATTATTATTACGTTAAAAAGTGAAATAATGATCTTTGGTTTTATAGTCCGACTATCCGAGAGGATATCGCGGACTTTTATCTACCTATCGTTACAGGTCGGGTTGGTCTGTTGTGCGTTTCGCTTTCATCTTGCATCGACTTGGTTGAGGAGTATGGTATGGTGTATCTGGCCGTTCCAAGATGGACATAGCTGTGTTTACTGCCTCTGGAGATGGCATTATTAATGGCGACGTGTGTGGTGGTGTGCGGAGTAACTCGGGATCATCTAGATCAAATCCCTCGTTAAAGTCAATCCGACATCTCTTGCCTCTATGGTTGGTTGGGTGGAGATAATACTGGCGATGGCATGCCTTCTTGGGGTTGAACGGACTGATAACAATGTCCGTCTTAATGACGACCCCCTCAGGTTTACCTTGGTATTTGGTAGGTGTTATCTCTCTGATTCCCTCTAGTGATGTTCTGGCTTCTGTCTGATGGTTCTGGTCTACGCTGGCGGTGGATGGTATCACATCAGCGGAGGTTACAGCAGCGGTTTTGGCCTGCACCCATTGGTCGTAACGCTTGGCGTCCCTTCTCCTGGTGGATGGTGGTTTGCTCTTTTTCAGGGCCGGCTTGGGTTTACTGGAGGATGCCTCTGGTTCCTTAGCCTTGTTCCACGTTAACTGAACTGTCACCTGGTCAGTACTTGCCGAAACTGTCCAGACAGGTTCTTTTCCAGACACGTTCATGGCAGCCAATAAAGCAGTCAATTCATTTGGGAATTCCATTATGATTTGTCCACGAAGTGTGTTGTGAGATGTGATCAGTAAAGTAAACGATACGATGAGTAAAAAGTTAAAGTGAAATATTTCCAATATTATACTGTATATAAGGAGAAGACGTTAGAAGTTTGACTAATGTGTATCTTATCTTTTTTCCTTTGTTTTTCGTTGGTGTAAATATAATATGTTTCAAGCAAACACGATGTTTTTCCTGAGCTTCTCTAGCTTTGTACACAAAAAAGGCATTGAGGAAATTGATTGTAGATATGATAAATATAGGGCGATAACGCTAATTATTAAAGAGTCATACAAGAGGAAGGTATACTATTTTTACCACCAGAAGTCCGAATGAACTAATTGCAATGAGGTATAATAATTCCTTATAGTGGATTTTCAATTAAGAAAGCAATTACCAAATAAACAAATTAAAGTGAAGACTGCTAGAAAAACCGTGAAGTACGTTGTAACTATAGTACATCAAATGAAAAAATAAACGTCAATTAAAAGGGTATAGTTTTCCTGCTGTGAACACGTGCACATTTCAACAATAAAAACGGAAGTAACTCAATAAATCAATACCTGTCACGTTTGATCAAGTTGATAACTAAAAAATTGAGGAAATAATAGTAAGCATCCCTTTACGTATTTATTATGAAACGTGTACTAATGAAATAAAACATAAAACCGAAACCGATGAATAATATCAAAATAAGGAGACGTGGAATAATTCCCAATAAGACAACTATCCAGAGAAGTCAAAATACATGACGTGGATGTGAGTAACTATATAAAGACGCACCTTAAAAGAACATAAGGAATAAGAGACTTATTGAAAGTTGTTATATGAAATTTGATTTTTTTGCTACAATTTGTTTCATCATCACTTAACACCCTATTAGTTTTTCATGGATTCTGTTAGCAGTAAAAGAAAAGGTCTGTTCCCACTAGGTGTTGCAGGATAACAACAATAGTCGTACATTTTGTGTAGGAAAATATAAAACTCATTTGTAGTCCCTACGAAACAGGAGAAAGGCTCGGCGAGTCTCACTTTTCTCTCGGTTTCTAAAGCTCATACAAATAAATTTGATATTTTCCTACAATGTACGAATATTGAAGAATTTGTATACTATACAAATCTTTGGAATATTGTACATTTCTTTTGCATTGAAGGTTATCTTAAAACAACATGAATTGGTTAGTTTCTAAAAAACAAGACATAGTTTTACTTCCAATAGAATTTAGATTTTGGTTAAGAAAGTCTATCTTATTAATTTTTGCAAAATTATTACTCAAAATTTGGCCAATATCTATCTAATTGAAGTTTTGAGCAATTTTGAGGCATTTGAAATTCGGTTACAAGTTTAGAAATACGCCATTCAGCTGTCAATTACACTGATAATTTTAGTAAAGAATGGGAGACTTTTTTTGAAAAAGGCGCTTGTGTGAAATAAATCAGGATAACTTGGCCCTGCCTTTTTAAGATAGTTTTTTGTGCACTAATTCACCTTTCTTGTAGTATAAAAAAATGATGTGATTGCTTGGATGTTTATATGTTTATTTCAAAATACAGATTGCCATGAGACAACTTTCCACCATAGGCCACAGAACAAAAATGTATAAAGTCACCAAAGATACCAGGCTTATAATTTGTTACACCTGACACACTTTATATAAGACTATTCACTAGCACTCGAATCAAAACAGTAAGAAGGACAAGTATAAACCATTCTTTGTGAAAATATACATGATATATTGTCGATTCAGAAATGTATGGGATGTTATCATTTATACGAAAGATAAAAGACAAAAAATTAAAAAGCTGCATTTCATATTTTCGCATTATTGATATCACATTATCATGGATTATATACGATATGCAATTATACAATACAATACAGTGCGTGTTTATTTCAAGTAAGGTCCCTCAGGAGGCAATGACAAAGATACACTCATAATTCAGTTACTAGTATACACTCATAATTCAGTTACTGGTATACAAACAATAAAGTACAAGAATACAATGTAATATAATAACGGTGTGGTAATAACAAAAACAATATCAGAAGAGTTCTCTGAGGATGTTTGCGGCAGTGCAACCCAAGGGGGGACGCATATTTTGGTAAATTGATTGCTTAACTGGAGGATACACCAGGTGCTTAAGAATCGTATGAATATGAATATCCCCGTGTCTAAACCAGCAAAGTAAGTAAGCAGTAATACATAAATAGATACATAAGGACCTTTTATATGATTGCTTAACTGGTGTAGACACCAGGGGGCGGTGCTTCAGAATCGTAATATGATTCTTTCCGTGTATCTCATCCTCTACCTCACCTGAGCCACTCTGCCAAAATAGTATAAGGTGTGGGTGAATACCTTATATAAATGGACACTAAAATATTAGAGGTTAAAAAGCATGGAACATGACTTGGAGGTTTCATTGATTTATATGTGTTATTTATCTTTCGAACCAAGTAATAAAAGTCCATGCAAAAGTTATTCTTATTCACGTATGCATGTCGATACTCGGATCGATTGGATTTTTTTAATAAGGTTACATTAGCAATTTGTTCAACTAAGGGGCTAAGTCAATGTTTAAAAAAACTATTACATTAATGGTGAATATAACATACAAATATAAGGCATACCTATGAATTGAAAGGAAGTTATTGAAGTTATGTAATAAATATTTATGAATAGGTAATATTAATTAAGATGTCAAAATTACCATCTGAACTGAACTGATCTTTCATTCTCATAAACTAAATACCAAGTTGCAGAGAGGCGTACGAGTAACAAGACTTATCGACTTATCAACGGCGTAATCGTAGGTAAAGCGGAGTGGTTGATACAGATAACAAACAAAGAAATTAAGGAAGTAATAGTAAAATTCCGTTTGAATATTTGTGATGACCGTGTACTTTTGTTGTACAAATGAATGAAATGCAAAACCGGAACCGAAGAATAGGTTTTTATGCATACTATACAATATAGAAGCACCTAAAACAAAAACTAAATAGTATTACATCCACGTTATTTGGACTGTGTTTGTTATGCATAAAAGGCAATCGTATCACGTCTCCTTATTTTTATACTGAAGGATGTCTTGTTTTTGGGATACTTTTTCGCCATCAGTAAACACACTTTTTTGTTCATTTTATGGATCGGCGTTACTGTAAAAGAGAAGGTCTGTTCTCAATTTTTAGGTCTGTTCTCAGTTTTAAATAGCCTTTTAATACTCTGGTAATCTGACAAATAATTTTATGTGAACATACAGACACGATATAAATTCTTAAATTAAATGTGGTGATGAATTATTAATAATGCGAAACTATTACAGTAACGCCGATCCATAAAATGAACAAAATGTACAGCACAATAATAAAAAGTTGCATTTCATTTTTTTAATGAATTGTGTTCTCTTATGGTTGTGGCTTGTTATCTATTTCTTGCATGGAGAGATAATTCACACAGCACGGAGTGTGATACAAAAAAGTGATACGAAAATTTGCATTAATTTGATTGAGTTTTCCATTGACTATTCGTTAGGTCATTAAAGTTTGACACCGGAGCAGGACATCATATGACGTCATACTTGAATGTGCAAGAGACTAGATCAACTATTCGCGGAATTTTTAATTTAACACAACGAGATTGTTGACCATAAGAGAAATAGGTTTAACAACTTGTGAGAATTGGATATCGATTGATATCAACTCTCGTTATTTAATTTAAATAGTAATAATAAACTCGCCGGAGGCTCGTTTATTATCATAATGAAATTAAAATACTCGAGTTGATATCAAGCGATATCAAATTCTCACTCGTTATGAAACCTATAAGTATCATATCATGTGTATGAAGTGCAAACATTAATTTTGCAGTATCATAGGATGCACACATTAAATGCTGAATTTACAATTGTATGAAGTGTTAAAAAGAAATCGGACCAATGAAGAGTGTCGCGCAATCTCATACTTTACTATCTTTATCTTAGAATTGAGGTGCCACATGTAGCATTGATTTGTGTTTTATACACTAGTAGTATAATGAGTTTTTTGAACATCTATTTTATTGTGTAAATAGTTTTACAAAATATGGCTGTGATAAACATGTTAAAGGGGGTAATTTTTATGACGGTGACAATATTACCATCTAAGGATTACCAACACAAAATTTGGTACATCACATATGTATGTAATAAAATATTTGATATATCACTCGCTGTCCGCGGTTTGATATTGACTTAACAATTTAGAAATTACATTGCGACAGTACATATCAGTATTATGAAACAGTCTGCATAAAATTATCTTCTCAAAACTGAAAATGTGATGTATTTTGTTTGTTTCTGTATTTGTTTCTGTGTATGATTTGGTTGCTGTCTTACTTACTATAAACATAAATTTCATTTTATTCTTATTTTATTATAGTAAAAGACATAAAATTCAAAGGTTCTTTTACCTGTCATGTTCGTCATGGAGGTTTCACAAACCAATTTTTGAAAGTAGATAATCTCAGCAGACTGTTTATAGCTTCGTTGAACAACAGAGATTGCATAGCTACTTCAAATACAAGTAAGTTGACCGTGTGATTAGACAAGTTTTGCAGATTTGTAGTTAGCCCGCTAGACGGTTGTCGATATAAAACATCGACTTGTCTACATTCCCTTTATGTATGGCATTTGAATTTTTGACGGAACTGAGAAATAAGTTATAGCAACACCATACAAGTACAGAGTTCTTAATTCTAGTTACATATGTCGCTCAAAAATCTTATTAAAAAAATTTATTAATCATTCACATAGAACATTTTAATTTATGGTTTTATATCTTTATGTCTGGTCTTCTTCTTGTAGGTTCATAGTCTTAAATCCTTTCAGCGCCCTATTTATTTCTAGTTAAATGGTAGTTGCCCTAATTGTTGAATCATTAGATATTTGAAATGGTTGCAAATTTTGAATTGCATAAAAATATGGTATAATTTTTTTTCCAAGAATATATCTCCGGTAATCGTAGTGTCAATTACAATGAAAATTATTGTATGTATGGCGTGTATGCTCCAAAGTGAGATGCTCATCTTCTTTACTTCATTGCTAGCATAAATAATAAACCTGAAGCTTGGTTCGTTCAAAGACTCAAGATACTTGCTTTCTGCTATACTTGTATTTGTGTTTCGTTCATTGTTTTGTTATAAACCTGATCGATGATTTTCTCGGTTGCATTGTTTTACATTTTGTCATGTCGATGACTTTTTAGTTGACATTATAGTATGGTTTTTCCTCATTGTTAAAGGCCATACGATGACTTATAGTTGCAAGCATCCGCGTCATTTGGACTCTGGTGGATAGTTGTCTCATTTGCAATCACACCACATCGTCTTTGTTTATATTAACGTATAAGCCAAGCCAGTCTATATATGGATTGATAAGTGATACGGAAAACGTTTATGCATGTTCGTAACATCAATTTTTATAAGCTATCTTAACATTTGAGAAATATTGGATCGCAAGCATGCAAAACATACACTGCAACTTTTATATCGCATGTTCTTAGGTTATCTGCTGGTAGTCTTGATATTCATGTACGTATAAATGATTTTACCAATTATTTCTTGATGCCTGATGATTTGCCAACCATGTAATGCATTTTTTTATTTCAGGTACTTTTAAATGTTATATGTTCTGTTGTCGAATCTTAATGAAATACAGAAAAGTACGAACTGTCTATTTCTGTGCCATATGCTCTTATTCAGACAGGAACAGATTTTTAACTGCAAAGGACAAAGATAGAGTGACGTTGTCGGTAGGTTTTGTATCTTCTGTTATTCTCAAATATAACTTTAGAATAAAAAATAAAAACATTTTGCCAATTCTGTAATTTACCCTGTAATTAGAGATCTATTTATTTAGTTGCTTCTCTTAGAACGGACAAACATTTTCATCGACAATGAAGAGCTAGCGGACATACCATCCATTTGCGCGTCATATGTGTTATATAAAAACAAATCTTTTCATTCCCTTTAAGCTTTTTTAAAGCTAACAACTTTTGATATCAGCACCCCATTGTATCACTTTATATATATATATACTTACATGTACCATGCTTTGTAAAGACAGCAGTCCACTTTGACCGGTATAAAACCAGTCTACAACTGGCAAAGAGAAACAACCTGTGTTAAAAGTGTGTAATAACAGAATCAAATCGGTAGTTGGCAACTAGACTATTGATTTACAGAACCCTGTATCTGTTTCTTAACATTTTTTCGCGGTCATAGATATTTAGATACCAGTATGGTCGTCTGATCTGTCAACCTACAGATTGTGTCCTTTTGACCGAGTGTGGATTTGCATACCGCTGATGCTATTTTTGGAGTGCATGCAATCCATCAGTTTTTGTTTTATACCTTGTTTTTTTTCCTTCTCCTTAATGGATTTATAAGATTGGAACATCCGTTAATTACTGCTGCCTGCTAAATTTCTAAGCAATATATCAAAATTTTATTTTTTTCAAAGCTTTTGAATACAACATTACTTTGTTTGTATTATTTCAGGCGACGCCTATTTCTGAACATGTAACGAATATAATTTTCAACACAGAAAAAGTAAATTTGACAGACCCAAGATATTTCATCTACACCAAAACGGCCACAGGGAAATCAGTATTTGAATCGGCAGCGTATCCAGGTACGACACATTCTTTTCAATCATTTTCTTTTGATTAATTGAATTAATCATGTACACGAAAATCGTGTTCCAAGACAGCCGATGGTTAGTTTAAACATATTTTATTTGCTTAAATATGCAAAAGGGATGAGACACAAGTTAATCAAACTTATGAAGTCTTCTCCCATGAACAATTTATAACAATAGAATTTTTTAAAAAGCATGCATGCAAATAATACACTGTATATATTGGATATGTAAAAGATGATGTGTGATGATGTGAATGGTTGTACACAATATACATGTATATGCACTTTAGTGTGCTGTATTACACAATTAGAAACCTCTTTGACTCTTTAATAAACTCATATACATTCTTTAAAATTCTTTCATTTTCATCATTAGTTAATGACGAATCACCGGAGGTTAAGATGTTCAAATTTAATAGAGAGTTCTCTGGTAACCAGTTCAGATTATTAGATAGTTTGATTCTTATATTCGTATAATTAGGACATTCAAAAAAGAAGTGAAATGAATCTTCACGCTTAGCACCACAGCTACAAGACGGATCTGAAATTATATTAACTCTGTTAAGATCATAATTCAAAAACGAGGCTGAGCATCTAAGTTGAGTCAAAATGATGTTGAGTTTACGATTGCCAAATTTATAATGTTTGGGTACTTGGGCTTTTGAATTCAGTTTAAGATTTTTTAATTCAGTTTTGAATTTACCTAAAGAGTCAATGTTGCGGGTCAGCACATTAAGGTTATTCCACAGTCGTATAGTTGAAGGTATGAAGGATTCTTGGGTCAATGAAAGTCTACAAAAAGGGTATATTATATCATTCCCATTACGTAAGGGGTAAACAGCTGTACTTTGGATTGTTGGTGGAATTAAATTGCAAAGATAGGCTGGTGCATTATTATGTTGAATATTATAAAATAATTGTAACTTCCTCCTTTCTCTTCGTTCAGCTAGAGTTTCCCAACCAATCTCATCATAAATAATTCTACTACTAGTAAAAATAGGAAGACCTGTTACAATTCTGGCTGCCTCAAGCTGCAGCTGCTCTAATTTGTTACTATAACCCACAGCCATATGGTTAACATGTCATCTCGACAGGTTTATGACTTAATGTTAGCCCATCGAAAACGGGTATTATGCTTATGTCATTGTATTAAATCTGCTGTTAAGTATAGTCACCGATATAACAGTAGAGTTGTTTATAATTTCTGAATCATACCGTCAGATTTAGTAGTCGACAATCAAAAGAAAACCCTGGTTGTAGGCCGACCGTGTGGAGGCAAACTCATTTCTATCAGAAATATTCTTGTTTAAAAGGATAGTATATATTTAAGTGTTTCACGAAAAATATAAGTAAGAATTTCATAAAAAGACACTTTCGTAGGCTTTCCTGGTAAAAGGTCATGTAAGACAGAAACCACAGGCCGGGTTTACTTTACGTCTATTGCCAAATATTCATGCATATTTAGAACGAAAACAAATTAACAATCAATCAAATTGGTAGGTTCTGGAAGGTGGATTGACCGCAATGAAGGGTTAGAATTTTAATCGCCTCTAAAAATGAGAAATTGTTGATTAAAAGTAGACTTTTCGCCGTGCAACAGGCCATATACATGTACTGTATGAAATAATAGATCAGGTATGACTGCCTATGAGACAAATATCCAAAAGAATCCAAAATGAAGCATGTTAAAAGCCAATTTCAACTTATAAATAAACTACATATATATGTTTTCCCAAACTAAAATATCGATCAGTACGCTTCCAAAGGATTAAGTGTAAAAATATTATAAACTAAAAGCAAGACATAAAAAAGGCTCTAAAAATTCACAGTAAAGCCTTTCACATAGAATAAAAACCCCAATTCAGACGGCTGCTAGCTGATAAAAGTATAATAGAAAATTTTTGCTATATGTAGAAAAGGCTTTATATACATGTGTGTATAATTGACGAACACAGATACAGGGTAATATGAACAAATTATAGAATACAATAAGCAAAAACTTAACAAAAACTCACATAATTTGTCTAATTATCTAATTTTCAAATGCAGAGACAACTATAGGGCACATTAAGATATTTATGAGATAACTGTGTAGGAAATTATATTTCACTGCAAAACAATTTCGAGTACCATACAGATCGAAAAATCAAATTTAAAGTAGTGCACAAAAGAGAAGTTATCTTAATAATAAAGACACCATAACTGTCAGATATTTATACTAATTTTTGAACGAGAAATATCATTTTTCATTTAGGTAGATTGTTAACTTGGGATGGTGAAAGAGTATGTCTCAAGTCTTATAATAGATTAGACAAACATTGTATGACTGAAGATGATCGTAATTTTGAAATAATTCGTTGTGTCAGAAACTAATGTAGATTTCATATAATATATATATATATATATATATATATATATATATATACATGTATGAACTTCAATGATACCACTATGCTAAACACATGAGGTTGTTGAAATGTAATTTAAGATAAAACAAATGTGATTATGCTTTTTAAGCGTTATTATAATTTTTAGACTTTTGAATATTTGTAACTATCTAGTCATATGTTTTACTGCAATTATATGATGCTGTTTGTATATACTATGTTTTTGATGCAGCAGGTGTCAGTACCCCGCTGGCGCATGCCCCCGTTGTAAAGGGGTACTTCATAATAAATTATATTCTAAATGATGCATAATCTAAAATATGTTTTGAATTTCTTTCACCTGGTAAGAAGAAATCTTCAGAGCGGCAAGCAAGCAGCAATTCTGACAATATATAGCAGAAACAACGTTATTTTTATGTCGAATCTTACTAAAGTATGTGACACCATCCATTTAATGTTCCTTGACATCAAAAATACTTGCTAGCTTACTTACATGCATCACCGGGGGTTTCACCAGTCCAGAAATATAATTAATTTGGCCATTTACTGTTAATGAAATGATGATATTATTCGAAACACTCGGGTTTTTTTTTTACCTCCATGCATATCATGTTTGGTCTTTAGCTAGATTTTAAATTTTCGGTTTTCAGTTCTCTCAACCTTTTGTATTTTTATTGATTTGGCTTTTTAGTTGTTTTAGATAGAGCGCCATTGCTGAGTCTTATGTAGACGAAACGAGTGTATTATACTGCATGTTCTGGTCATGACGTCTCGCAAAATGCAAGAAAACTTTCGTTTTTATCAGAATAAACAATAGGTGAATTTTATTTTAAATCAGTATTTATTTCCCACATGTAAACTTAAACTTCCCTGATCGTTTAAATGATGTTTCTACTGTGTGTAAACCTTAAGTTAACAAAAATCCATATAATCCACAATTAATGTCTCAAATGTTACACGAAAATGTTCAATAATATAAAACAAAGTATTTGAAAAATAAAATAAGGTGTCATCATCGACCTATTTGCACCAGATGTAATCCTGCAGTTAGAATTAGATGAATTCTCTGAACACATCAACATCTGAACATCTCTGAAAAAAGTGAAAATATCTTCATTACGAATATGACACTCAACTCAATTTAAGTTAATTCTAAATATAATTGCTAAAAACGTAAATAGATCACTAAAGGGCAATAACTCCTATAAGCGTCAGACCTATAAATTCACCCATATTGGAGTATTTGTAGATCTTATATCTCTGATATGTTTTGTTATGTAAAGTTATTCTATACTATAGTGTTTATAATAACAAAATAAATGCAAAAAACTCAAAAATGGGTAACTTCATTTTAACTTTGGTGGATAGTTGTCTCATTGGCAATCAAACCACATCTCCTTATTTTTATAAACATTGTCATTGAAGGCAATAATTACTACGAGGACTCGACAGACGATTTCGGCCTATTAGACTTATTTGGATATCTTATTTTGCTAATTTTGCAGTTTATATTTTCTTTTTTCTACTTTTGTTTGCGCTAAAAAATAATTAAAGGGTACACATTGACTTTAAAGATCAACAACTTCTACACGGATTTAACTATTTCGACCCAGCTGACTTATTTGTAGATCTTGTCTAGCTGATTATGAAGACAAAAAAGTTTCTCTCTATCTACAATGGTTTTAATAAAATAGCCAAAAATGAAAAAAATGAAAAAACAAAAAAAAAAATAAACACGTAATCTTGAAATTCAGAACATCAATAGCGGTTTGTATATATTTTTTTTAGTTCGGACGCAGAATCATTTTAAACTTAATATCCAACGGATGCAAGTAGCTAAGTTGGGTTCAAATTGGCCCAGTAGTTCCAGATGAGAATATTTTTGTAAAAGTTTTGGCTCTTCTGGTGTGCTGAATATGTAGTTAAAGGCTTAATCGTAATTTTTAATCATCTTTTTCAACTCAAAAGTTATTTAGCTATAAATCTTTCTTACCTCGGATTATCTATGCAAGATGGGGATATTCCTTTCTCTGTAAAACGCCCCTGCAGATTCTTAATTGATTCACTTGAACATGTTTCTCTGAAAAATTATCAAGAACAATGTATTACTCACTACTGTAAGAATATACCGTTGTTTCGACTTGTTGTCATTTATAGTTTGAATAGTTGTTTCCTTACTTGCGACATCAGAATGATCACCGGAGCTATACACTAGGATAGTGTTGACACTGATACATATTCAGTACACACTTTTGAGCTCTAGATCTGGTGTTTAATGCATGTCGATAGTTACTTCGATCTGATTTGCAACGCACTAGAATTATACTTTTGGAATCTTTATCGAGATTTAAAAAAAAAAATGTTTAAACCGATCTACATAAAGAACCATGTACAAATTAAAAAAAATATCTAACAGCACATAAAAATCAAACACAGATTTTTTTTCAAATTGTTTTAACAAGTTAAACTAGAGGCTCTCAAGAGCCTGTGTCGCTCACCTGTATTTACTGATGTTTTGGAAATCATGTAAAATAAGGTTAAAATCATAATTAATAGTATTAGACATTAGATATTATAATGATATCTAAGATAATAACAAAAAACTGCAAATTTTTTGTAAAATTACTAACTCAGGGGCAGCAACCCAACAACGGGTTGTCGGATTCGTCTGAAAATTTCAGGGCAGATAAATCTAAATCTGATGAACATTTTTGCCACCTGTCAGATTTGCTCTAAATGCTTTAGTTTCAGAGATATATACCAAAAACTGCATTTTACCCCTATGTTCTATTTTTAACCAAGTCGGCCATGATGGTTAGAAGGCGGGGTCATCGGACAAATTTTTTAAACTAGATACCCTAATAATGATTATGGCCAAGTATGGTTAAATTAGTCTCAGTAGTTTCAGAGAAGAAGGTTTTTGTAAAAGATTACAAAAAATTAAAAAAATTGTTTAAAATTGATTATTAAGGGCAATAACTCCTAAAGGGGTCGACTGACAATTTTGGTCATGACAACTTATTTGTAGATCTTACTTTGCTGAACATTATTGCTGTTTACAGTTTATCTCTATCTATAATAATATTCAAGATAATAACCAAAAACTGCAAAATTTCCTTAAAATTACCAATTCAGGGGCAGCAACCCAACAACAGATTGTCAGATTTGTTTGAAAATTTCAAGGCAGATAGATCTTGACCTGATAATCAGTTTTACCTCATGTCAGATTTACTCTAAATGCTTTGGTTTCAGAGATATAAGCCACAATCTACATTTTACCCGTATGTTCTATTTTTAGCCATGGCGGCCATCTTGGTTGGTTGGCGGGGTCATCGGACACATTTTTTAAACTAGATACCCTAATGATGATTGTGGCCAAGTTTGGTTAGATTTGGCCTAGTGGTTTCAGAGGAGAAGATTTTTGTAAAAAGCTAACGACGACGGACGACGACGACGACGACACCGACGACGACGACGACGACGACGACGACGGACGACGGACGCCAAGTGATGAGAAAAGCTCACTTGGCCCTTCGGGCCAGGTGAGCTAATAATAACCAAGAGAGCTTCTATGGCGAGGTCGAGGCCACAATAATTTCAAATTACATTCTCAATATGTCTTTTGAAATCTTTTCCACTATGTTTATAATGTATACGTAGTTGCTTGTAAATAAATAAAGATAGAAAAAGCACACTTGACTTGTAACTCATGTTCTATAAAAATGATAATTTACAAAACTGGCATACAATCTGAATTAAAATGATGTTGACCACACATTCTGCAGTTATGTCACATTTTGAAATAATATGATATGCTTATTCGTATTATATTTTAAATGGACAATTCTCTTTCCGATGATGATATCACAACAAATTAATGCAATGAAGTATATTCAGAATTCTCATTGACGGACATGTGTAGTTTCGTAGAATCCTACGCTTAAAATAGAACATCGCCACTGTTTGAGGTAAAACAGAGACTTACACATTTTTGTTTAGGGACCAGCTGAAGCCCGCCTACGGGTGCGGTATTTTCTCGCTGTATTGAAGACCCATTGGTGGCCTTCGGCTGTTTTCTGCTCTTTGGTCGGGTTGTCTCTTTGACACATTCCCCATTTCCATTCTTAATTTTATATTTCACTTCTTAAATTAACGTTTCCGGGAAAGCGATCAATACTGGCTGATATGTCAAAATAAAATAAAACTTAAATGTTTGAAAATGTGTGTAATGTCAGGTCTAACTGATGTTTCTGGTATCAATCCATACCCTATAATTGTTCTTGAAAATTTGCTGCAAAACACTACCAAAAAACGTATGTACCAACCAACATTTCAGATCATCCAACACATACTCTTCTGTTTTTGTCAAAAGTTTGTTTCAACGACTTCAAAACTGATACAGTTAATTATTGTGAAATGCCTTGCTGTTTGATATAGTATTTACTTACAGTACAGGGTCATCCAAATGATGAACCATTAGTATTGTTGCTTTCTTTACTTTTGTACCATTTATATTTGGAAGTTCATAATTTCCAAAGTATCTAAGTAAACAAAACAAAGGCTGTTAGAGAAAGAGAGGTATGGATATATTTTTTTATAGAGGAGAAAGATAGGAACCGCAGTAGTAAATAGTTAGTTTTGGTAAAATTGTATATGAGCAACATGCTTACGTTTAGTTTTTGGCTAGAGTGTGGTGGTTTATATTTATCATATGAATGACGAGAAGTGAGGTAAATGTCAATGTAGTAGTCAGAAGGTACTTTTTATGCATTCATTTAATCTGTTTTCGTTTTTATGCGATAGGAGAACAGTAGGTAGGTCGTCTTATTGTCAATGACTTGTTTTGGTCAATCTAATTATAATTAAATCTCCGCACTTGCTCCTCGTTGTTTATATGTCGCGCGTGGGACTCGCGCGACATATAAACAACGAGGAGCAAGTGCGGAGATTTAATTTTAATTAGATTGTGTTTTGGTTTATAAAGTTTTGGCGAGCACATGCTTTTCCCTTTTCCTATTCGTTACAGGTGGATTTCTTGAAAGATATATTTTAACACGAGATGTAATATTTCAGCCGTACACTTTTATCCAATCTAACCGACAATTACAAGTCTGTTGGAAATTACCCATTGTCGATCTGGTCGACACTTACCGAGTCTGTTGGAAATTAACCATTGGCAATCTATTCGACACTCAAGAGTCTATTGGAAATATCCCATTGTCAATCTAGTCGACATATACGATATGAAAAAAAGAGATGTGATATGACTGGCAATGAGACAACTATCCACCCAAAATCAAATGAAGTGGGTATTAGCAATTATAGGCAACCGTACGCGGTCTTCAACAATGAGAAAAACCCATACCGTATAGTTGGCTATAAAAGGCCCCGACATGAACAATATGAAACAATTCAATTGAAAAAACTAACGGTCTAATTCATAACAAAACAAGTATGACAAACATGAACCAACGACAACCACTAACTACATGCTCCTGACTTTGGACATGCACATAAAGAATGTAGCGGGGTTAAATGTGTTTGTGAGCGCCCAACCCTTCCCTAACCAACTATAAAAACCAGTTGAAAATGGCTTAACTCATCAGATCTATACAAAGCAGAAAAACATCTAACAAAACACAGACCGGATGTGGCAAGGTATATATACATTCCTAACAACAAAAACGACACAAAGTACAGATCTGAGAGTACTCGCAGTTACTGACAGCTAGTTCAAAGCCAATAACAACTAATAAAATAAATTATGTATCTAAGACTAATATATCAATCAGTACACATCCAACATCCTATGGATTTAGTGTAAAGACGTGATTAACAGTCAGAGAAAAACATGACCCTGTGCTATGCCAAAATATAGGTATTGACAGATTGTAGTACCGTGAAAGTGTGTATGTGTATAACAATACTATTTAGTATAGTTTTAGTTTACTGATAACATAGTCAATATTTATACCAATAAAACAATATTCAAAGAAATAATTACAGTGTTGAATAGGTAACCTTTCAGTATAAGTTTATTTAAAGAATTGACAAGTTTACCCGGATCGTTCATATATTTCCGGGCTCGGTAAACAATATCACCGTAAAATGTAGGATGTGCTTTTCCGTCTGAAATAAGTTTTTCACAGGTACAGACCAAACTTGCAAAACAAATCTTTGTATCCATGGAATAATTTAGTAAAGGTTTCAAGTAATTTCTGATAACGAAATCCCTGATTTAATAATCTACCAGTAATACATAGATTACGCTCATTGGAATCCGAAACGTCACTACAGACACGGACATAGCGAACGAGTTGGGATATATAAACACAATTAGACGGTGCAAAAGGAACATCATCATCCCATCCAAAAAAGGAAAATTAACAATAGGGAAAGAAAACTCATCCCTTTTGTCGCAAAGTTTTGTGTAGAGTTTCTTGTGTAAAACTGAAATGTCTAAATCTAGGAAGGGACACTTATTGCTGTTAATATTTGAGATATTTAAGGTAAGTTCCTTTGAGTAAATTTCGGCAGTATGTATAGAGAATTCTTAATTATTTAGCGAAAAAATATCATCTAGATAACGGTAAGAGTCTATTGGAAACTATCCATTGTCGATTTAGTCGACACTTACGAGTCTGTTGGAAATGCTGGAGATATGCTTGCATTCAACATTACGTGGACATCTCCATAGGCATGTCTTGCATACTGCAAAGAGTTTTTAAATATTTTAAAATATAAATTAGAACACGATTTGTGAAAAAAGAATGTGATGAGTATTTATAGTATAAAACCTTAGTTTTATTTTATTGAAAAAGTAAAAGCAAGTCCTTATTTTTGATTGGATTTAAAATTTCAACAATTATTAATACATGCTCAAGTGTTTAAGTGTGTAAACACACAATGAGCAGATTTTAAAATAAATAGAAGTCGATTTGTTCACAGTACCATATAAGGATAAATATATTACCTTTATATTCACTTGTATGTACATACTACCAATAGAAAACCTTAGAGAAAAATTCAAGTCTATATCTTATATGATTAAAACATGTGCTTCATGCATGTGATACTTACAAGTATATTTACAGAATGCCAATAGAAATGTTATTTTCTTATTCTTAAAAAATTCGATCCTGCAATGGTAGGAGTGTCTTAGATTTCTGGTGATTGGAATGAAAATTCAATTACCGGTATCGTATAAGATCTTTTCTATAGTATATGTACATTCTTGCTAGCTTCAGTTTTCTGAGATCTCACAGAAAAAACATTCAAAGTCTGGAATTGCCTCTTTTTGTCTTGTTTTGTCCCTGATAAGTATTTTAAAGATTTTCGTATATCATTTATAGCAGGTTTGGTGCAGATAAGATTATGATTAGAAATACATACAAATAAAGATGCTGTTTCCCAAAATACAGACTGTGCAGACTTCTGGCAATCTGGACCTAATTCATACCCTGGACAAGTGCTCGGATACTTTTCTATTCCATCATGTTCTGATGAGTTTCCACACCATTCTATGTTATCAAATAAATAACCTAAAATTGAACAAAACAACAATTTTCTAAAAATAATTAAGACCATTACCGCACATTTTGAATATGAACATTAGCTTTCGGTTTGTAGATATCGTAAAAGATCACTACCAACGAGTGTATTAGGTGTCAAATACATCGAATAAACAAAAAATGTCCATCATGTATCTAGCGAATACGTTTTACAATATTTACATGCATGCACGTTAGAAAAACTTCTGTTTATGCGATTCTCCCAAATCTTTCTTTTATTTGATCCAAAACATAGTTCTTTATTATACTCATCCAATGTTAACTGGTCTTGTGCAACACGACAGGTAGCCCTAATGGAGCGGGAACTTTACTGCTTATCTTTCCGGAGCACTTGAGCAACACGACGGGTGGCACTAGTGGAGCTGGAACTTTACTGCTTTCCTTTCCGGAGCACTTGAGCAACACGACAGGTGGCACTAGTGGAGCGGGAACTTTACTGCTTTCCTTTTCGGAGCACTTGAGCAACACGACAGGTGGCACTAGTGGAGCGGGAACTTTACTGCTTTCCTTTCCGGAGCACTTGAGCAACACGACAGATGTCACTAGTGGAGCGGGAGCTTTACTGCTTTCCTTTCCGGAGCACTTGAGCAACACGACAGGTGGCACTATTGGAGCGGGAACTTTACTGCTTTCCTTTCCGGAGCACTTGAGGTGTCATACCACCAATTACTCCCTCCAATTCAGAACGTATGTAAAAGTAGGCCTACTCGGACAAAACATAGTGCATTTGATGTCATCAGATTTCCAGAAAACCAGGGGTTATTTTTAGTGGTACCTCAGTTTAGGAGGTCTCTTCTTTCTTATAAGATTTTAAAGGTATGTTGAAAATTGGCATGTAGAAAGGTGGTATCTGTACGATTCAGGATATACCCGGTTTCTATGAAGTTAAACTTAAGGTAAAATATTTAGAAAGCTGTGAAAATTGCAAAATTTGGTTGAACAGATTGGGATTTTTAATTGGTGGTCTGACACCTTTAAAGCGAAAAGCGGTGAAATTCCAAAATCAGATAACAATTGCTTTTTTTGTCTTAACTGATCATTTGGAATGATAGTAGCCACATTTCAATTTTTTTTTGGCAAAAGGTCACATATTGCAAATTTCGAGCCTTAAACCTGAATTTGTGCTATTTTTAGCTTTTCCCAACCTGACAATATGCTTTCATATAAAAAAATATCCTAAATTGTTATGAATTCACAGTAAGTTGTTTCTGTGGTATTAAACATTAAAACATAGGTTGTTTACCACTCAAAAACACTAAAAAAAACTTGTCGTCATGAAGGTTTAATGAATTTATTTGAATTTTACCCCTTATATCATTGCGTCATACCATGTAATTGACAGATAATATAGCCTAATGTAAACAGTGCATAAACTCTCCACAATCCCATTTATTGTCTCAAATGAAAGTTTTCTACCTTAAATTTTATTGACTGATAGTAAATAAAAACAGTTTAATGACCATAACTGCACTTTTGATCAATTAATAATAGTCTTATTACTGGAACCTGGTGAAAAAGGGGGGTAATTATTTCTTGACTCTTCGAAACCTTGGATTTTTTACTAAACTCATTGTAAAAATAGTGGAAAGTCTTTAAAGCAGTAGGACAAACAAGAAAAAATCAACCAAACCTGATCTTGATATTGAAAGTTTATGTTCCTGTAGTCTAAAATGAAATTTTCTATTAAAGTCATACATTAGTCAGTTTGAATTGAGCTGTGAATATTGTAATTTAAGTCGCATTATGCTCAGATAGGATTTTTTTAAACTATAAAATGACCAAGGATTAAGAATAAAGCAAAACAAAAGATTTTTGATCAACTTTTTTTGCTCTTTAGGTGTCAGACCACCAATTACTCCCTCCAATTTAGAACGTATGTAAAAGTAGGCCTACTCGGACAAAAAATAGTGCATATGATGTCATTATTTACTTAAACTTACTAACAAATTTGCAGAAATGAAACGTTTGGTGAAAGAGAATTAATGCGCACCAAAGTATACTAATTTAAGATTTCCAGAAAACCAGGGGTTGTTTTAAGTGGTACCTCAATTCGGGAGGTCTCTTCTTTCTTATAAGATTTTAAAGGTATGTTGAAAATTGGCATGTAGGAAGATGATACCTGTACAATTCACTTAAACTTAAGGTAAAATATTTAGAAAGCTGTGAAAATTGCAAAATTTGGTTGAACAGATAGGGATTTTTAATTGGTGGTCTGACACCGCAACACGACAGGTGGCACTAGTGGAGCACGAACTTTACTGCTTACCTTTCCGGAGCACTTGAGTCCAACTTTTTTTTTCGTTGGGAGTTTTGCTCAATCTTTCAGTTTGAAGATAGTGTTAAATTGACTGTTGTTTTTTTTACGTCGTTTTTTCATGTTTCTTTAAGTTTGTTTTCGACTTATGATTTTTCATTGTCCCTTTGTATTTTTGCACTCTTTTAAGTACAACTTCATTGAAAATTAGCAGATGCATTAAAAGGATGTCTGAGATAATTACTGTTTTGATCAAGCACCAATTTTATTGAGCGAAATACAAGACAGTCATTTGTAAATTGCTAATAAGTGTTTCAATTTGGATTTTTTCAGTAACAAGCAATGAAATGAGTACATATTTACAGAAGGTCTCATTTTAGAAAGAAAAGTCGAATTTCAGAATTTTTTCTATTATGGTATCGACACCACTTAGGACATTGACTTTTACATTTAATTTCAGGACAATTCCAAGTTGCCTATAAAATATAACGATTAATCTATCATCAATGTGATATTTAAAGTTGGAATTAATAAAACAATGGTCACAGGAAAGCTTTACATGTTAAATAATTTTCTCCAAATTCACCAAAATAAGAAAGGATTTTTTAAACAAAAATGTGTTGGTTGCCTCTTAACACTTTTGAGGTTACCAGTTAACACTTTTTTTACCTGTTAACGTATCTGATATTGTGTAATATTTGTTTCCGCTGTTACTGTACCACATGACAAAAGGATATACTCCTTCCCAAAAAAGAAACTGCAACGAGAAAAACTTAAAATTTAGATTAATCATTTAAATATTCTATTAATAGACTATTTTCGTTTGATATGCTGTTTTAAGAAAGTAAATGACAAAATACAATGACAAAAATCAAAATGCGAAAAACAGATCACGCAATCTCAAAAAAAAAAAAAAAAAATACAAGACAAAGATAGTCCACAAAACATGATACCGAAAAATTAGTACTTGAAGGGTTTTTCAAAATATTCCTTAGTAATGAAATTAGACTAGTACGTTTTTTGACAAGCTTTAACATTGTCTAGAGTCAGAGTTGCATGCGAGCCTTGTCAATTTATTAACTGAGGGTTATCATTTTATTAAACATTACCACCATGTTACCTTGTTTTCTGGTACAAAATGCTGACTCGCTGTAACGAAGTCTTCATAAGCACTTATGGAGAAATTACATTTTGGTTGATATGCTGCTGCCAGTTTTACCTTTGACCACAAATCACTACAGTCTATAGAGCTGTAAAGAAACACATGGAATCATTGTCTTTTCGAAATGCCTGTACCAAGTCAGGAATATGACAGTTGTTTTCCATTTGTTTGATGTGTTTGAGCTTTTGATTTTGCCATTTGATGAGAGAATTTCCGATTTGAATTTTCTTTGGAGTTCGGTATTTCTGTTATTTTACTTTTATTTTTTTCGGAAGAAAAATATTCCATTTAAACTTAATATATTTTTTACCAGCAATACATATGTAGAATAATATGGTGATGATTAGAATGGTTAAAGTGGGTATAGATATTATATATTGTCTCATGAACTTCTTTAAATACGTCCCGTGCTGAACGGTCGTCCGTTTAGAGTTGTGGGATGTATTATAAATACGCATCCATGTAGAAACAGGATAAAACTTTCTATCCGTCGTCCTGTTTAAAATTAAAAAAAAATTACTACAATCATTGAATAATTGACATGTTGGGTCTGGATAATAGCTTACCTGGCCCATATGACCACCTGGCCGCATTTGCGATCACTTGGCGTCGATCATCGTTGTCATGGTCCGTTAACCCTAAAAAAAATCTGCTCTGAAACTAATAGACCAAAATCATCCTTGGGGTATCTGTTTTTAAATTGTGGCCGGTGATCTCGCCGGATGACCAACATGGCTGCCAAGGATGAAAATAGAGCATATGGGTAAATTCATTATTGTCTATTATTTTGAAAACCGTTATAGATAGAGAAAATCTGAATAGGGCAACATATTCAAATTGTTAATGAATTTCTCTCGAGTATTGACAACGACGAAGTTTCTCCCGATTCGAATATTTCAGTAAATATAGGTAGACCACAACTTGATCTACTTTTAAAGAACCTTAAGACGTGTTAAGCTAGTGGCATCGATGAGATTCCTAATGAATTCTTAAAGTTTGGCGGAGATGTGCTAGTTGATTTTTCACGATAATATCTGACCTCGAAACTGTACCTGATGATTGGCAAAAAGGCATCATCAACCCCATACATAAATCAGGATCTGCTTTTTATATTGATAATTATAAAGGTATCACGCTTACTTCTAATCTGTATAAAGTATATTAAAAAAATGGAAGAATCTGTAATGTCCTACTTGAAAGAAAATAATATTTTAGACGAGGTCCAGGGAGCTTTTAGAAAAAACAGAAGAACCGATGACCATATTTTTACACTACAATGTATTTGTTCTATTTGTAAGGCTAACAACATAAAACGTTTCTCGCTTTCCTAGACCTGTCCAAGGCTTTTGATAGAGTCTGGGAGATGGTCTTTTCTATCTATTGTGGAGAAACGGTATTTAAGGCAAGACTGTATAGCCATTTCAATTAATATTTTATAGTGTGTCTTTTTATGTTGTAATGTTACACTACTGTTTCAGGTTAGGGTGAAGGTTGGCGCCTGTTAAAACGTTTAAACCCGCTGCATTTGTATGCCCATGTCCTAAGTCAGGAGCCTGTTCAGTGGTTGTCGTTTGTTGATGTGGTTCATAAGTGTTTCTCGTTTCTCGTTTTTTTTTATATAGATGAGACCGTTGGTTTTCCTGTTTGAATTGTTTTACACTAGTCATTTTGGGACCCTTTATAGCTTGCTGTTCGGTGTGAGCCAATGCTCCGTATTAAAGGCCGTACTTTGAACTATAATTGTTTACTGATTACACATTGTGACTTGGATGGAGAGTTGTCTCATTGGCACTCATTCCACATCTTCTTATTTCTATCTAAGTTCTGGAAATTGCTCAAATAACTGTATAGCAATGTATAAAATAAAGTATTGTTTTGTTTCTAGTGAAACAGGTTTCTTCAGCCAAGAATAAAGGCCTGAATCAAGGCAGAGTTTTGTCTCCGACACTTTTGTTCTGTTCTAATGAATGACCTCGTAGGTATGCTTGAAGCCAGTTATTTGGGCGTTCAGCTCTCCTCACAAATTTTGAACTGTTTAATGTTTGCTGATGATGTAGTCCGAGAAGGAACTGCAGTGTCTGCTAAATAGAACAGCCAAATTTGCATCAAAGTGAAATTTAAAGTTTTACCCAAAGAAATCCAATTATGATAGAAGGTAAGCGCTAAGATAAAACTAAGAAATGGCACCTAGGAAATGAGCATTTGGACGAGACTAATGAATATAAATATCTAGGAGTTTATTTTACCCGCTCTTTGACTTTTACTAATTATATCAATCATTTCTTAAAAGATATTTTCGAGCGCAAACTGAATTATATGACTAAGCTACTGTAAATTTACAGTACTTAATTAGCACGGATCTTTTAATCGCATATCTTTTGGGGATGTTCTCTGGAACTCGGTTATCCGACCGTCTTTAGCACACGGATGTGTCGTATGGCTACCGTCGTCCACTTTGAGTCACCAAATACTTGAAACATAACAATATAAAACGGCTAAACTGATTTTTAATACTAAGATGAATATCCCAAAATCTGTTCTTTTCCTAGACTTGGGATTGGAGCCAATAAAAGATTTTTTTGATAGACAAAGGGTGTCTTGTTTTGCTAGGAAGTTTCTTGGAAGGTTTGTTCGTAGAAGGGAATATCAAGTAATAAATAATAAAAGCAGTCTAGATGTTTTCTCTAAATTTGATTTTGCGCAAGGAAGGAAGCCCTATCTGTCGAACTTGCTGGACTTTAAGTCCTGCTTGAGTGGTCTGAATTTTCTTCTATACAAAATGAATACTTTATAGTAACTGATATAAATGAATATTAAAGTTCTACTTTCCCGGGCCTCTGTTTCACAGGGTTAGCGTCCTACGATAAAATACAAATACTGATTGGTGATTATTTTTATAAGGTTGATCCATATATTAGTAAAAATATGGACAGTTTAAGTAAAAAATGTTGTCTGTATATATTCATTGCATATGCTGTTAGACGCATGTGTGGATACTCTGTCCGCAAAAGCCCCCGTTGTAAAGGGTTAGGTTCTAAATAAATATATATATACATATAAAAATAAAAGAACATTTGTTGTTCGACTTGTTAGTCAAATGCGTTTTGTTAAAATATACTTTTTCACTTTTTTGGTCTTTTGGAAAATGTTGTTTGTGCTGTATTTAGACCCCTCTAACAAGAAATTTGTTTTGCATGCACACGTATAAAAATTGCGGTTTTTATCCAACGCAATTATAGGTTTGAACGTTGTTTTCAATTTAGACTTGTTTATATTTTTTCGTTTGGGCTTGTATTATATTTGCCTTAGGGTTTATATGATCCGTTCATCATTTTTTGACTCCTCAAAATTCAACAGTCTATCCTAAATTGAGGTAAATTGTTGGGCTTTCCAAATACCGTTTCGATTCCTTACATCACTGAAGAGACATTATTTGTCGAAATCCGGATATGGTGTACAAAAACGTTTGCACCTTTTGTTTGCGGTATACCATCTTTTCCGCAAGTTTATTGTTTTCTGTTTGGTATTAAATTTATAATTAAGATCCATTTATTACATCGGTGATCCGTTTATTTGGCAATCGCCAATGGCGACAGCAGGGTTTAAGATCATTTGTTGTTCGACCTGTTTGTCAAATGCGTTTTGTTAAAATATACTTTTTCACTTTTTTGGTCTTTTGGAAAATGTTGTTTGTGCTGTATTTAGACCCCTCTAACAAGAAATTTGTTTTGCATGCACAAGTATAAGAATTGCGGTTTTTATCCAACGCAATCATAGGTTTGAACGTTTTTTCAATTTAGACTTGTACATATAAAAATATATATAACTGTTGTCTATTTTGACCAAAATTGACAGACGACTTCTTACAGGATTTATTGCCCTAAAAAATGACAATTGTTATAATATTTTTTTAAAATCTATTTTTGACTTGTATATTTAAAACTATGATAAATAGAGAATAACGTTTTGAAGCACAAATCATCAGCAAGACAACATCTAAGAATAAATCAGCATGGCAAAATCGTCAGTCGTCTTTTTATAGAAGTTATTGTCCTTAAATGACAATTTTTACTATTTATTTTGTTTTACCTGTTATCTTGAAAACTATTGTAGATAGAGAAAAAATTTGTTTTAAAGCAAAAGTGAAGAGCAATGCAAGATCTATGAATATCTCAACATAGCCGAAATGATCAGACGACTCCTTAAAGGGGCATTAGCTGTCAAATTCATGTTCACCGATTATACTCAAATTCTCATATTTGATATATAACATACTAAAACGACGTATATCCAAATTACAAAAAATCTAAAATAAAACAATTAATAATGCATGGACTCGATAATATGTATCAACATTTCGTGTGTCTTTTTGTCTAGATGCCATATAATTAACTCCGAAGACTGCCGACGGTCATATAACCCGATATAAACATAAATATAAACAGAGAGTGATCACGTGCAATTGGATTTTTCTTAGTCTGTTTGATGTCATATTGTAGGTTAAAAAGTATGTTAATCATCGTTTTTACCTGTATAAGAATGATTTTGTGTGGATCGAATCAGTCAACCAAATGGTTCATCCGTGTTTCACTTTCAATGTTGACATTCTTTTCCTTTTAATAGCTGAATACATACATTGTACGTTACCCATGTCCAGCTAAGTGAAGTGAATAATTCATCAGCCATGTTTCTTAGCTTATTTTGACAAAATTGAATCAAACTGGCTGCTAAAAGAGATTTATCATTTCACTATTTCACTTTCATTACTGATGGAAAAAAAAAACAAAAAAAAACATATTTATATATCTCGTAGCTAATGCCCTCTTAAAGGTGTTATAGCCTTTTAATTATGATTTATTACCAAATTTCGCATTTTGATTAAAAAAAAATGGATAGTAGAAATAGAAAAATATTTTCGACTCAAATTACCAGAAAGACGAGATCTACAAGTAATTCAAAATAGCAGATATTTTCAGTCGTCATCCAATAGACCTTCCCCCCAAGGGTGACTAGGGAATAGAAGTATAGTCACCATTGGTCTTCCTCCGACCGGCAGTAAAACCCTTGCTAAAGTGGGGCGTCCGTTTGGCTGTGCGGGATGTACCAATTTGCAGCCACGTCCGGTCAGAATGGGGACGTTAAGGGCATACGATACAGTTTTGATCCCGTAATGAAATTTTGATGAAAATTTGCATATAGGCTATTTTTTACCTGATTAAATCAAATATGCAATAAAAGATATACCATCATGTGCTACTTTTTGAGTAAATTGAGGTTGAAGTTTCAGATATTTCCTCAAAATTCAGTTTGTGGACGTATTTTTCCTTTTGACAGATATACATAACTTTTTCGTTTTAAAAGATAAACACAAGCTGTTTTTTGTTAAATTATTTGTAATTTCTGTTTTATATAAATGTTCTATAAATTTGTACATTTTATTTTTACAAATAACTCATATTTATCAAATGTTCATGAATGTAGAAAAAAACGTCATTTTTTTGCTGTATATTTATCAAATTTAAAATAATTGCACTATTGACTTTTTCATGAAAATTAGTACACATAATTTTCATACGTAATCAAACCAAATGTCATTTTAAAAAAGAAGGGTCCATGAACTCGTTTTCAAGTTAAATCAGTTTGAATGATAAAAATCAGTCGAAAACTGCATCTTTTCCCGATAAGTCACAGTTTGACGTCGCGAAAATAACAATTCTAACATGACGTTCTTCAAACGCTTTGAGTACACACCCGTGGTAAAATATGAATATATTGTTTGAGCTGTTCTAATCGTACTCCCGCGTCATATGTTTTTTTATGAATGAGCTACCCGACGTCATAGAACGATGACGTAAGAATATAAGCATTTTACGGGAAAATACACGCTTGTGAAACCGAAAATCATCACAAGAAGGAAACGTAAACAAACGATGCAAAAATGTGTTATATAAGCCATTTTTTTGTATACATATAAGACATATAAGTACAATTATAATTTAGATTCATCCCTTACCTTTCTAAATATGTTATTGTAAATAGTTTAAGCATGTCATTTATTCAGTTTGCTCCGGTCTTTTACGTCAATTTACTAGTGCGTTTATTTATGGGAACGGCAAATAATGCCTTCATCTATAGCGCTTCGATCCAAAACAATTGCCGTATTTGTCCTAATAGAATCGAAATAATTCATGGGGGCTTGAATATATCGTGATTTTACCACGGGTTGTCCCTTTATGCCGATATTTTACCCCTCGCTATCGCTCAGGGTAAAATATTTGTCATAAAGGGCCAACCCGTGGTAAAACCACGATATATTTAAGCCCCCATGAATTATTTCTTAATTTACGTTAGCAACGTCATTACTCCCCTGTAACTGTATCGTATGCCCTTAAATCCGATGCCTCGTATAAAGAGAGTACCACGCTCTTTGCACGTTAAGAACCCTTGCAACAACTCTTTGAGGGGTCTTTAGGTGACCTGTTGCAAGGCTAAATTTCTGTCCCTATCCAATATATCCTCATTTCCCGTGGCAGTCTAAATTCCTCCGACCTTAATCCCGGACGCCCCTATTACAGAACCTACCTATTGTATTTATTGTTAATTTGTTCTCGTCCTGAATATGCATGAAATATTTGCCACTGGACGTTAAGCAACCAACAATCAATCAATCAATCTAATAGACCTTGACATGAGGACTTTTACTTATTGTTTACACTCTGATTAAAACCCTTAGTATATACAGAGAAACTTTTTATAGACAAAATGAACAGCAATACGAGATAAAAAAGATTTTGATTCATGAATAATATTCTAATCTATACCGTTGGAGAGTAGTCATTAGCTCATTAGGGGACAGTCATACGGAATATATATCCCATTACCAAGACAAATTGTTCTGAGCAGATCTCACGTCTTAATGCCACTTTGTTGACGGAGAAACAACAAATACCATTTTAACGTCTTTGGATTGATCAAAAGCACTGGTCTAATTAGGCATGTTCATTAACTGTTTGGCTTGTGCGGTTAAACATATTACCTCAAACATGTCCTTTTTATCATATGAAGTAAAATTAATACAAAACTTACCTGTTACACAATATCTTTGGCCCATAGTCTTGTTTATATAATAAGCATTTTCCAAGAAAAAGCTCTCGCCATTCTGCAGTTTCTCTGCGAGAAGAACGTTCAACACAGGCAAATGAAGAAACAACAAAAATTGCTTCTAATACAATTGACTTGAAAACGACAGCCATTAAACTTAAGGATGTAAAAATACATCCGTAATACTTAGCTTAAGATAAAATTAGTTGTGTGACCCACACAGATTATAATCTTCACAACTTTGGTATTTGATTGTAGGTATATCGGCTTATATTAACTATCTTGACATAATAATAACAATTATACTGCACTCGTTCTATTTGAGCAGTCAAAATGCGTTGACCGTATATTTCTATGTCATATACAGTCACTGACCTGATATAACTTTTCCTCATGAATATTTAAATAAAAATTGCCAAAATTATAATTAATTATTCATACGACCTATTCAACCTGTTCTTGTTTCCAAAGAATACAACGACTCAAACTTATTTCTTTTGCTAAAAAAAATCATATTTCACTTGTTAATAGTTTTGGTTTGCAAACTATAAATCATTATGTTTTTTGCTTATTGTTGATATTTTAGTTCATTCTCAAACAAATTCGTTCACCATCGATTGCAGGTTTTAACAGGTAATGTACATTTCATTGTGTTGTATATTTCTCCGCCTGCTTGATATGAGGCCTTTTTATAAAAGGGGGAAGTTTCCCAATATCTAAATCAAATAATAACATTAACACATTAAACAACAATTGAAAATGTTTTTTTTTTATATTTCAGTATAAAGACAATAATAGTGCATTGACTTGACATATCAACGATATAAGGATTCGGCCCGAACCGGGGAAAAAGCTCGGCAGAGCCTCGCATTTCCCCGTTTCTAAGCCTCATCCTTATATCGTTGATATGTCAAGTCAATGCACTATTATTGTCTATTTACATCTTCTTCTTTAATTACACCCCAGTTCTATTGTTATACTTCATAGTTTCTATTTCTGAAACAAATGTAAATTGAATCGATCTATGGTTACGAATAATAATGGATTTTGACCACAGTGTGTGACGAGCGGGGTTTCTGGAAACCCCTGCTTCTATACATCCCGAAAACATTGTCCATTGTTATTCATAACAATAGAAATTGTTTTTTTAATAGCATGAACATAAGAGATTACGAATAGTGTTCACTACAAGTTGTTTCATGACATATTAAAAAAAACATATTTCAGGAAATTCCAAGAGCGAAAAAAATATACAGCATCTATTTCGAATAAAAAAAAATCATTTAAATACTCCTTTGCTTGAAGCTACAATTTTAATCCCATATGGCAATGTCTTAAAGAACATATATGTAAAGAACTTTTATTTGAATTATACATTCAAAACATATAGTTTTCATTTGGACTAAGTTTTAATCATAAAATAAATATTAATGTTTGGATTGTTGAAGACTAATGATGGCACCCAGGGGCGGATCCAACCATTTTTAAAAGGGGGTGCCAACCCAGGATAAAAAGGGGGGGGGGGGGGGGTTCCAGCCATATGTCCCCATTCAAAAGCAATGATTGTAAAAAAAAGGGGTTCAAACCCCCGGAATCCAATCCCCTCTTGAATTGCCCCAAAATAGGGGGGGGGGGGGGTTCCTACATATGCAATCTGTATTTTTGTAGGTTAAGCGCGTCCGGTCGTCGGGTTTCTAATCCAGACACACCTATCCCTCAGTATGTTCGAATATGAATGTTTATAATTAATGTTGAGAAAGTGGGGGGAAGGGGGGGGGGGGGGGGGGGCTTTTTTGATAAAACTGTAACACGTAAAATACATTTATGATTACCTTCATTTAAATGATACATGTAAGTACTTTGGGTTATTAATATTGCGTTATCTTCAGTCTCTTCTGCCAAATCCAACGCCTGACTCTTGTACGACTTTGCCCCCCGCAGAGCTATAGAAAAACAGTACATTAACGGGTGTTACACGGACTCTTTTTAGATGATACACGGACTCTTTTTAGTTGTTACACGGACACTTTTTATGAATAGATTCACTCGTGCATGATCAGTGAGTTCATGGGCACTTTAACTTTCAATTAGATTTGAACTTTTTGGTTCACCGACATATTTCCTGTCTTTTTATTAAACAAAATATTTACGTTAGCATCAATATCTTTTTTCAAACATTTTCAGTAAAATACTATTCATATCAGTACACTAAGGGATTAGACATTTAACTTCAAAAAGAGGGGTGGGGGTATGGTTTTCTCCTAAAAAAAAGATATTTTGATCCCAAATTTTATGAGAAAAAATTTACTATGGTCAAGCAGATGACAAATTAATGTTCTGCATGATTCCTGATTTTCCGAATACCGTATAGTGCTCATTTAAACAAAAATATTTGGGTGATGGCGTTGAAAAGTAAATAGTTAATATACTCAGAAAAGAACATACCGCCCCATTTATGAAGCAAAATAATCGGTCAATAAATGTTTTCTTCGATATATGGACATGAATAGTATTTTGGACAGTGCTGAAAGTAAAGAAATGATGATACCGACGTTCATATTTCAATAAAAAAAGACAGGAAATAAGTAAATAAAAATCAAATCTTATCAAAAGATAAAATCCCTATCAACTCACCAATGCACGATTGATCCTATAAAAAAAAAGTGTTCGTGTAATACACGTCCAAATAAGCAGCAAATCTAGAAGAAAATCATTCAACTTATGTCCTCAATTTTGGACGGTAAGCTGCGATTGGACCATATAGTAACACGTGTTTAATCCCGATCAACACTTGCAGATCTAGAGACGAGCATGAATTTAAAAAAAAAATCAAAGTATATGCCTGAATATATATAATATTATAAATAAGACAAAATCCATTTTTCATAACATTTCATTCACTAATGAAGTAGGAAATTCATTCTTTTGATACATTTATATTGTTATTGAATTTATATATACATATATATCAGTTGCGGATCCAGCCATTTTAAAAAAGAGGGTTCCCAATCCAGGACAAAACAGGGGGGGGGGGGGGGGGGGGTCCAACTATATGTCCCCATTTAACTGTATTGATCGTTCAAAAAAGGGGTGTTACAACCCCCGGGACCCCCCACCACTGAATATTGAATTCATTTATTTGGCAACAAACGTGCGATTTTTACGATTTTTTTAAAGGGGGAATGGGGGGATGGAATGGCACATTCTGCATATTTTCATCAAAATAAAGATCACAGCCTGTTTATTTTAAATTAAATTAGGCCCCCCTCCCCGCTTTCCGTTTCATCCATAAAAATCAAACGTTAGCTTACTTACCACTAAAATATTTCTTTAATATATTACTTTTTTACGAAGTTGCATTTTAAAAAGTCTTAAATGTGTACAACATTCATCTTTTACTTGATATGGTTCTTTTTTATCAAATTATTAGATTCCTGATTTTTTTCTTGTAAAAAACTCTCGGTTGAAGGGAAATGAAAAAAAAAGTGTGTTTATACTATAACTTACATTTACTGCTTTATGGCTATCTAAGTTTCTCAAATGTTTAGTCTTGCAAAATGTATTATTACTTTCTTGAAACGTCGTACAAGTCAGATACAAAACAAAAGTAACAAAAAAACAGGCCGGAAACAACCTGCCGTATAGTTTTTCTGCACTTGTAGTCAGGTCAAGGTCCTCGGCTATCGCCTCGGACCTTGACCTGACTACTCGTGCAGAAAAACTATCCGGCAACGGTTGTTACCGGCCTGTTTCTTTGTTACCTTTGTATTGTATCTAATACATAATGTCGTCGTCTGTCTTATACCCGTCCATATTGACAACTGCATACGAGAATGCACGATACGGCCAACCTTGACCTGCTGATGATCCATATAAGCACATTGATTTAACAGGAATATGCAAAACGGCAACTTTGACATTTGTAAAATCTACTCACTTGTCAAAGTTTGAATGAAGATCGTCAGAATAAGGTTACTAGTGGGTTTTCATTAAAAAAAAATTCTTATTAATCATGGTTTGATATTGTCAATAAAAATGCTATCCGTTCTTTTTCATTTAATATTCAATGTAAACAAATATAGGGTTTAGCATCGGGTGTAAGTTAGTTATACACTTCGGGATACGGCGTGTATGGATAAGAAACCCCTATCCCTCAGTGTATAACTATTACATAAACAGACTGATCCTCTTAAAGATACTTGCATTCTTATTTAAACTCAACTATTTTACACATTTACATAGGAAAAAACAATGAAAGTAATTTAAAAAGAGACAGTCCTATGTTGAGCTGTTTAAACTTAGCAAAGTTACGGTAAGTTAAAAAAAATAACTGTTTAAGTTGTAGGTGAATGCGGTTAGATTTAAAAAAAATTAACAACATAATATTGTGATGTATATCATGTATATCATTTTAAAAACTGTAAAGACCCACTTATACTGTAAAATAGTAACGATTTGTCCTTTCGCTCATGACCGTTAATTAATGAGTGTCCTACTTCCTGGTTTAGTTCACACGCGGCTTAAGGCAAGTTTTGGGAACCCCTATTTGACTTTATACGTGTAAGTTTTCCATTTAAGGTAGCAGAACAGTTTCATGCAGTAAAATCGTGGGTGGTTGCATTTAACAACTAAAATGTTGTCATTGAAAAAGATAATGTTTCTAGTGAGTCAAACAATTTGTAGTTTTGGGTTCACTGCTGAAAAGTTGCTAAAGGGCAAAACATGCGTTAAAAAAGTCTAGTAGCAAATATCTCATGCATATTCAGGATGAGAACTTATCAACAATACGTTCTATAAAATTGGTATAGTAGGCTGAAGGGCAGGTATTATTACTGTACCATAGAATAAAGAGTTTTTATGGATAGGAATAAAATATTGTCCTGCAACAGGCCACCTACGAACCCTCAGAGTTGTTGGAATGGTTCTTTAACGTACATAGAACAGGCGACTTTCTCTTCACGCACCACTGGATTTAACGTCCCCGCCATTATGACCGAACGTGTCTGCGTTTGTACACATTTACATGTTAATTACACCTTATGTAAGAATCCTGGGTTTTGATTGGTTGATAGCCAGTGTATTTTTCACCAATTTACTGTTATCAAATGAATATCGTTCATTTTTAACGCCGCCGGGGTATATGCAAAAAGGATATGCCTTTTTTACCCTCTCTGCCATGGTATTTGCCAAAAAATACTCTATCCGACTGGACGCTTGTAACGTCACGATCATCAATGCGTTTTTGAACGTTAACATTCGGTGTAATTAAACAGATATAGCATGTTCTTTAGGGGTATTTGCGAAAAATACCAGTCTTGAGAATGTATTTCCCTCGCCTTACGGCTCGCGAAATTTAACATTCTCTCGACTGGTATTTTTCGCAAATACCCCTCCTTAACATGATATATCTGTTCAATATCCCAAATAGCCCCCCTTCCACCCTCCACACAAATATCGGCATGGATTTTATCGCATACTGCAGCATAGAAATAAATAGAAATACTTTAAGAAGATAACACGGGGCAAACATAATCCTAAGTCGAAGAAATAAATAAAAATAAAAATAAATAAAAATGCTTATTTCAAGAGGATAATCCCATTAGTTAAAACTAACCTTCCCGAGAGTCCTCAAAATAATAATAACATATTCATAAAGTACATAAAATATTATAATGATATTTTTTACACAATATACAATTTTATATAGGTATATATTAATGAAAAGCCTATTAATCTGACCTCTTCATGAAAAATGTGTAACATT